TATTTGTAGTAAGTAAAGATAAATCCTTAAAAAGCATAGACAATTTTATTTTATTTTAAAGAAACTGATTTTATGTGTGTATATCATAGTAACAAAATTCTTGGATCTATAAATTAACAGCTATTGTCAAGCTATCAAAGCATAATCTCATGGGAAATGACACTCCAAGAGACATGGGGTTCTCTCTCTCTCTCTCTCTCTAAATTGTTTACAATCTGTTTGCCATGTGGAGAACTTGGCACGCTCAGCCCCGTCCTATGACCCTGTCCGAGTTAAACTCTCTCGTTGGAATATTTTAACCAATATTATAAGTTACATGGGACAGTTTCATGAAAAAAGTTGGCAATGACTACAATGTAATGGATTAGTTACATTATTTTATTTGGATAATTTCAATGGCACCCTTTTTAATTTCAAGTATTTTGATTGCATCCTTATTATTTCTTAAATTACACTCAATTCCTTGGGATGCGACCATTTCTAATCGATTCTCCTCTCCAAATAATCTACCTAGATTTTATGTCATACAAGATTGATTATAGTACCAACAAATAGATTTTGGTACCTTTAACTGTTGAGAATATAACATTTGTAAAGTTCTATTATTTTATTTTATTTTATTATTTTCATTCTCAGAGCCTATTATGAATATTCCAAAGAGAGTTATACGTACAAATTATTTTTTTTATTTTTATACAAAAAAAGTTCAATACCATAACCTTATCCTTCAAGATATATCCAAATTTAGATAAACTAGAACTATCCATTTTATCCTTCATTTGAACTATCAATATATGGTCACTGTTCAAAAAAGAAACTATCAATACAGGGCCAAGGTACAACCCAAAAAGGTCTTGTAGAATTCATTAAAGTCAATATAAACAACTCTACTTCATCATGACATTATAAGATTTCATAATTTTATGATAACAAGTAATTCTTTGATACCATATTCATGTGTTATAGGAATGAAATCGTTAGAGAGAGAGAGAGAGAGGGTTTCATGTAGCCATAGGGTTTTTAAGCAGACATAAACAAGTAAACGACAACTGAAGGCATGCTACTTGTATAAAATGAAATAAGATCCATGATGGGAGCAATAAAATATCCTCGTGGATGTGGATATATATGTATATTTGTGTGGTGCAGACTTCCCCGGATGAGAATTGGAGTGTTTGAAACATTGGATTTTTCAAACAGTTGGGGACAGGTGTGTTTTGGCCCTTTATCTTTTGGAGGAAAGTAACGTTTGAGAACTGAGAAGCTTCCCTTTCCCTTATCAAATCTCTTTGCTTCTTGGCATCTTCATAGAGAGAATTAAACCGAAAATCTTAGTTTGATACATTTGTAATTACTAATCGTAAAAATAAAAAGTACAGTAAGACAAAATTTTACAAGTATCGTATTTGCATTAGACAAGAAGAAAAAAAAAAGGTACGATATTAAAAACTAATATTTCTCTACGATGGTCGGATCCAAATAGTAATAACCTTGTACACATGCAATTATTTTCTTGAAGAGTAGGTGGTTCATCCCTTTTGTTTACCTTGTGAACTTAAGCTCCAAAGCTTGCAACATAAACTCGACACAATAACTTTTAGACTACGCGCATCGGGGCAAACTTGAATTTTTTGTGACTACAGAGTTTCAAACTCAAGATATAAAGATTTTCTCACCACCTGTTCATCAACTAAATCAATACATGAGGGTTAATTCATGTAGTCATAAAGACCATAAAAATATATTTCTTGGTCATTCTTACATCTAATTAGATCGTATGACAGGCTAGAAATTAAAGTATTATATTGGAAAGTGTGAGCTATCGTACGTTCTACAACTTGTTAGCCATACAGATAGATATATAACATAATTCTCCATTAGAAAATTTTTGCCAAAGATTCTGTATGTAGAATAGTTTTCTTACAAGTGACTCATCGTATATATTGCATTAAGTTTGAAGCATAATGTATTTGCATGACTTCAGAGCCTATATAGATCCAACAGATGTGATCCAGACTCACATGTACCTAGTTAAACAGTTGACCTGATAATTATTCNCAAAAATCTTAGTTTGATACATTTGTAATTACTAATCGTAAAAATAAAAAGTACAGTAAGACAAAATTTTACAAGTATCGTATTCGCATTAGACAAGAAGAAAAAAAAAAGGTACGATATTAAAAACTAATATTTCTCTACGATGGTCGGATCCAAATAGTAATAACCTTGTACACATGCAATTATTTTCTTGAAGAGTAGGTAGTTCATCCCTTTTGTTTACCTTGTGAACTTAAGCTCCAAAGCTTGCAACATAAACTCGACACAATAACTTTTAGACTACACGCATCGGGGCAAACTTGAATTTTTTGCGACTACAGAGTTTCAAACTCAAGATATAAATATTTTCTCACCACCTGTTCATCAACTAAATCAATACATGAGGGTTAATTCATGTAGTCATAAAGACCATAAAAATATATTTCTTGGTCATTCTTACATCTAATTAGATCGTATGACAGGCTAGAAATTAAAGTATTATATTGGAAAGTGTGAGCTATCGTACGTTCTACAACTTGTTAGCCATACAGATAGATATATAACATAATTCTCCATTAGAAAATTTTTGCCAAAGATTCTGTATGTAGAATAGTTTTCTTACAAGTGACTCATCGTATATATTGCATTAAGTTTGAAGCATAATGTATTTGCATGACTTCAGAGCCTATATAGATCCAACAGATGTGATCCAGACTCACATGTACCTAGTTAAACAGTTGACCTGATAATTATTCATACTGTTCGGATTGTGGTGTTCCAATGACAGATCTAGGATTTATGCTTTAAGGGAAAGGATTTATTTGGCAGATCGGGAGGGGCATTTAAGAAAAATAGTGAAGTTCAGGACGAGGGGAGACAGACCGATTAATACGAATATAAAGAATTCATCTTAGTATTAAAAATATATAATCCACTTAGAATTGATTTGAAAAGAAAATAAGCTTTTTTTTTTTTTTGTTCCTGAATCTATTACTTTATTAACTGTTTTAGCATTAAATAACTTTATTAATATTTATTTTGACATGCACTGAAAAAATATTATCTGAATATTTAACTACTATAAAGAAAATGGCACCAAGATGACACTACTGACTACCCTTAGAAGTACTATTGCCCCAACCATGTGCTACAGAAACAGACTTTTATCACCAACTCAGAAGTGTCTACAGGGATAAATTCTTGATAAAATTACAGCAGCAGTTAGATATGGACTGTAATGTACGGAGAGAACAGTCAAGTGGGGTGTCATTCAATTTTCCCGGAAATAAGGAGATAGAGAGGGAGGGAGTGATTGTTTTGGGCAAGAAGCACCAGCTTTTCTTTCTTTCACACATATCCTTACTGTCCTGCTAGTGCTGTCTGGAATATCTTGTTCACCGGCCTACATTGGCTTACATTCCGGGTGTCATTTGTCTCCATTATTCTTTTGTTTCTTCTGCGGGTCCCTCCTTTGATCTTTCTGCTACACACACACAACAATATACAGCACAAAATACATTATACAATACAAGCAACAGCTCCTCTCTCTCTCTCTCTCTCTCTCTCTCTCTCTCTCGCTCTCACACGCACACACAAACACATTGCCGATCCAGCTTTTTATTGCCTCTGATCTCCTTCACAGCCTGTCAAACATGAATGATAAACACCATGATCATATTTTATTAGTGGACAATATTTTGTTGTTTCTGTAAGGAAAATAGAANGAGGCTGTAAAAGGCTGAATTTAAGTTTCATCTATTGCAAATTTCAATAGACTAATCTTCTCTCTCTCTCCTTTCAGTGCGCTTCAAAAATCACAATCCCTATTTTGCGCTGTCGTTTTAGGTTATTACTTATTTGGNGTCGTTCATGTCATAAAGAATGATCAATAGGTTCTTCATTGTTTTTGTTCATAAATGATCAGATTGGTTTATGGGTAAAACCAGTGGCATGAGGGTGGAACTTTTTCAATGAGTTTCACTAGAGAATTCTGGGATTCAGCCACTTTTTCACTGCAGGTACGCACTTAGATCTTTTCAATGTTTCATAGTTGGTCAACCATTTTGGTGTTAATCCGGTTCCTATGTTTTTCTTGAGCAAATTTGTGGAAAGAACTTAGGATTATCGTATTTCACAAAAACTTGTGGGTTGGAGACTTTCAAGAATTGAAATTTCTTTTCCTTTTTTGGTAATTGAAATGACTGAAACTTTGAATTAGTGGTTAAATATCAAAATTCTAATGTTTGAAGTTACTTTAAGAATTGAAAAATCTCAAGTTTAATATAGAATTGTGGAATGATCTTCACAATTTCAAGGAGTCCTCATTTTTCAAAAAAAAAAATTGTTAAATGTCTGAAAGACTTGTCAAAAGAATGCAGATTTTTAGGCTTGGCTGAGCTTAGATTTATGTAGAACATAAGTCAAATCATCNAATTGTTTAATGTCTGAAAGACTTGTCAAAAGAATGCAGATTTTTAGGCTTGGATGAGCTTAGATTTATGTAGAACATAAGTCAAATCTTCAACAAAAACTTCTGATTTACCAAGGTAAACACATTTTTGGTTTGTGTTTTATGTNTATCTCTCTCTCTCTCTCTCTCTCTCTCTCACACGCACACACAAACACATTGCCGATCCAGCTTTTTATTGCCTCTGATCTCCTTCACAGGCTGTCAAACATGAATGATAAACACCATGATCATATTTTATTAGTGGACAATATTTTGTTGTTTCTGTAAGGAAAATAGAAGACTGGTCTTTGCCTGTTGAGAGATTGCTGGTCTCTCTCTCTCTCTCCTCTCCGAATTCAACATAGCTGATACACTTGGATTTCTCCGTCGTTCATGTCATAAAGAATGATCAATAGGTTCTTCATTGTTTTTGTTCATAAATGATCAGATTGGTTTATGGGTAAAACCAGTGGCATGAGGGTGGAACTTTTTCAATGAGTTTCACTAGAGAATTCTGGGATTCAGCCACTTTTTCACTGCAGGTACGCACTTAGATCTTTTCAATGTTTCATAGTTGGTCAACCATTTTGGTGTTAATCCGGTTCCTATGTTTTTCTTGAGCAAATTTGTGGAAAGAACTTAGGATTATCGTATTTCACAAAAACTTGTGGGTTGGAGACTTTCAAGAATTGAAATTTCTTTTCCTTTTTTGGTAATTGAAATGACTGAAACTTTGAATTAGTGGTTAAATATCAAAATTCTAATGTTTGAAGTTACTTTAAGAATTGAAAAATCTCAAGTTTAATATAGAATTGTGGAATGATCTTCACAATTTCAAGGAGTCCTCATTTTTCAAAAAAAAAAATTGTTAAATGTCTGAAAGACTTGTCAAAAGAATGCAGATTTTTAGGCTTGGCTGAGCTTAGATTTATGTAGAACATAAGTCAAATCATCAACAAAAACTTCTGATTTACCAAGGTAAACACATTTTTGGTTTGTGTTTTATGTGGAATAGACTCTTCTGACTGATAATCTGTGTGTCCTTACGACGTGTTTTGAACTTTATTATACATCTTATATTTTTGAATCAGTAAACTATTTACCTTTCAAAAAAAAACATATGTTTACAATTCCTTCGCACTACCTGAGTATGGGGTGATTTTTTCTTCAACGTGATCTTCTGGATTCTCTATTTACAGGATTTCATGTGCAAAATATTTTTTTTGGATAAGTTTCATGCTCAAGATTTAGTAGTCCATAAATAAGGTATGAGTTTCGAGTTCAAATTTGAATGGGTACACCATTAATTGGCAAATCGCCTGTGCATTTGTATAGGATACCGCTAGTATAGAGAGATACTAAAGTGTAAAAGGATTTTGAACTAGTAATTATCTTGTTGTTTTGAGCAACAAAAAATGGAGCGGCTGTAAAAGGCTGAATTTAAGTTTCATCTATTGCAAATTTCAATAGACTAATCTTCTCTCTCTCTCCTTTCAGTGCTCTTCAAAAATCACAATCCCTATTTTGCGCTGTCGTTTTAGGTTATTACTTATTTGGACACAACATAGGATAGCATTTTGAAGGATACAAAAGAGATGGCCACTTTGTAACCCATGATTGGCCTATTTCATTTACAGTTAGCCTAAATTCCCTTGAGGGGAGCAATCATGGTGTTGAGAGAGAGAGAGAGAGAGCGCGCCAAATTGCTATAATGATGGACTTGATAATGTTTTTGGGGCCCACAATTTAATCTCATCACAATGACCTCTGTTTTTCCTTCGAGGAGCTGAACTTCAAGTATTATGTGGTTGTGTTATTCCGGTCATAAAGTAAAGTTGTACGCACGTTAAATGTTATGACACAATTTCATGTATCGAATATTTTGTGAGAGTTTGTGAGTTTTATTAATTTAAACAGTATATATTGATTTGGTGCAAAAAATTTTGTATAAAATTTAATAAATATGATATTATTATTCGTCATAACCATGTCTGATATCATATATAATCTGCAACTCGTATGTATTCTCTGATAATTATTGTACCAACTAAAGAGTGAGTGGAATTAGTGAGGCTGAATATAATTCTTTTTCCTAGATGTTTTTTTTCAAGGATTTCTTGCATTCTTAGTTCACTTTTCACTTTGTTGGGTATGAGTCAAGATACTCAGATGTTTCCATTGGTCTTTGCTGGTCAGTTGTGGCATTATTAACCAACTTGTAGTCAACTAGGTCCTGTCTCCACCTTCATGTAGTGGCTTTCATCAGACAACTTCCTCCCCACCCCACCCCAAAACAACAACCCCCAACAAAAAAAAAACCAAATATTTAAGGGGGAAAAAAAGAAATGACCACTTACGACTTTTTTTCATATATATCCCAACCTAACACAATGAGAAATGTTCGTTAGATACAATTTTGAGTCTGAGAATCAATTTCTCTAAATCGACATAAGATTGTCTATCACTTACTTCTCTCAGACTCCGAGATAGGCAGAAGTCTTACGCACTATGCAAGATCCGTTTTTTGCTTTTCTTACATTTTTCAAAATGTTCTATTTTGTAATGCAATTGACAATAGTTTGCTAGTAGTTGAAGTCTGTTATAAGTAGATACAATTTGACAGTTCCTAGTATTTCAGGCATGGGAACAAAGCTCCAATTTGCAATTAATCCTTTAGCTCTCTCTCCAAGCAACAATTTTTCTGGGAGTTACTTGGAAGATTGGGACTACTTGCAGAATACAGAACAAAAGGGCAACTTAAGGACAGCTGGTTTTGACAAGGCTTACAGTTCAATGGAGAGGATGCCTGAATGCCAGAGCATAGAATCAATTAAGAAGACAATACTCCTTCATGAAGAAATCTTCAAACACCAGGTGTGACATAATTCCCATATCTCCCTCATCTTTGTACTGATTTTAGACTGCACCACCATGTTGGACATTCTTTTTTCCTCTTTCTTCTTTTTTTGCTTTTTTGAGTACTTTTTTTAAGTCATTTTCGCTATGCATTTTTTCCTTTTTTGCTTTTTCGCATCAGAGTTTACTCTAAACTTAATTGAATGTATAATGATACACGTATTCACAAAACATATACACATATACTGGAACACTTTTCAGTTAGATTTTGTGGAAATTTATTATTTTTGGAAGCTAACGTTTGCTCAAACTAAATGTAGGTCAGGGAACTTCACAGGCTTTACACTGTTCAAATGAGGCAAATGAATGAACTGAAAAATGAGATGAAACAGAATAGAATTTGGGGTGGAGTAACTGGCCCAAGTACTAAACCCTCCCACTTTGCTAATCAACGTCAACCATTAGAGAGTATTGGTTATGATCCACACGTCCACGTCCAGAGTTCGAGAGATGATCTAAGATCAAGGGAAAGGAGCAGTGGCTGCTCCGGTGATACATCAATAATGATAAAGGGATTCGACCTTGAAAGACCTGCAGAAGATATGTCAACCGGAGTTCGTGCTTCTGAAGATGACCATGCAGGAGCAGGGTCGGGCTGCCAAAGAATCGGGATAAACAGTAAGACGAGCATGGATGGAGTTGAAGAAGAGAGTGAAGTAGAGCTGACCTTGAGCATTGGATGTACCGGCAGAATGAGATCAAAAGTTCACCAGCAGCATTGCAGCATACGATTAGGCGGCTCTGAGCCTAATCATTATGAGTTCAAGGATTTCGGTTTTTCTGCCTCGATCAAAACAGATAGCGACGAACGCGTTGACCCCAACAGTACCATGAGCAGTTCTATTGCAACATTTAATCAAGAAAGTAAGCAGCCGCATTGGCTTTTCCATGGTCAAAACTTGAATCGAACATGATTTTTTTTTTCATGTATGTTGTCCATTATTGACATTTGAACATCACGGTGTTCGAGTAATAGCAACAATCTCTCTCCACATAAAAATAAAATTACATATATCTAATTTTTTCTAAACTCTGTAATGCAGTAAGATACCCTTATGTACCCATTAGTTTAACACATTTTTGTTTATTGGGACGCCTAACTTCATTGATGCATTATCTTTTTCAGAGCTGATGAATAAGGCACTCATTTGCTTTCGAACATTGATGTAAATATATCAACTGCATCAACTGTTACATCAATCTTTTATTGAAAATTTTCATTGTCTACTGTTTGGCCTCACTGCCAAGTTTCAATTAAAATACCCAGTGTAAAACCTGTGCATTTCTTTTTGTAACTTGTAAGTATGCACTGCTTATTTCAATGATGACCGAGAACTGTTCCAATTAATTTTTTTTATTTCGGACTCACGGATGTTATGTAAACTCAAGATGCATAGAATGGTTTCCAAATCATTTGCATCAGGTCAAACAAAAGGTCTCTTGCAAGGGTCGAACATGGAACCTTCAGATATTAACCCTGAAAGTCCTGACGTCCAAGCCACCCTGATATGTCACACTGCTCATTTAATGTCCCATGCATAAAGAAGGAACTGAAATCGTCAAAAACCATCTTTGAAACTGTGCGTGCAAGATCCTGCACAATATAAAAAACGAGAACAGATCTCTTCCTTGGTNATATGTCACACTGCTCATTTAATGTCCCATGCATAAAGAAGGAACTGAAATCGTCAAAAACCATCTTTGAAACTGTGCGTGGAAGATCCTGCACAATATAAAAAACGAGAACAGATCTTTCCCTTGGTGATCTTCGGGTGGGCCGGTTGAGTGAACAAGCACGCTGCTTGGAACAGCCTGCAAGGTACGGTAGTAACCCGGAACGGCAACGGGAGATCCTAGGAAAGGAAGAACGATCCCTGTAAGGCTGAAAGAGATTCATGGAACAAAGAAGAACAAGTTAGAAGGGAACCGGAGTATTTTTCGGCGTATCCCCTCCGACGATCTAGTCAATCTTTGAGAGAGAGAGAGAGATGATAGAGAAAACGCTGGGTGTGTAGTGTGTATTGTAGTAGAGAGTTTGTTGTTGCATACCCGCTCTGCCTTTTGCAAGGAGTATTTATACCTTAAAAGCTCATGATTGCTGTCAGTGCGGTCAGTAGGTGATCATTAGGCACAGGTAGCGTGTACATTTGATTCTGATGAGGAATGTCTTCTCTAATTAACTGCTCG